CGGTTGGGGGTTTTTAAGGCAAAGTTTGTGCAGGATTTGGACTGTCGCATCCCTCTCATCCCCAGCCCCGCAGCTCCCCGGGCAAGCTAGACGATCACTCCCATAACCTGGGAACTTATTTATTTCCAGCATCGATGAAAGCTGCCTAAATGTGATTTTTTTTTTTCTTTTTTAATTTTTTTTTTCTCCTAAAGCTTAAAGCTGTGCCTTACTTACATCTATGTCATTGTCCCTCCTGCCACACACCCCCAAGGTGGGACCATCCCTCCCTCCCTCCGCAGCAAGCCAAGCTGCCGAGCCACAGCGGGAGCCATTTGGTGAATGCTAATTAAGAAACTGGATCGTTTTTGCTTCTTTCCGGCAATGAGCTGGACGGCGCAGGGCCGAGGTTATCGACACCGAGCAGCGGGACCGTCCCGCTGCCCCCTCTCCGCCTGCAATGACCCCGAGGAACCGGTGCTCAGCATTGATTTATTTCTTCACAACATTTCTTTAATACAGTGATTTTTAGGAAATTGTACTCTTTTTGACACTTTTGACATTTGTACAGTACAGTGTAACTCTTCCATAAGTAAACTTCACAAAAAATAGGAAAGGGGAAGGGGAGGGGAGAGGGGGGAAAGTGGTACTGGGGTCTTGGGGAAGGGGGAGAAATCTGTAAAATAAAGACACAGCGCTCCAAGAAAAATAAATAAAGGGCAGCAAGACCTGCGGGTCCGTCATCGCTACAGGAATATCCACTTATTCACAGTCTCCACACAAGCACGGTACTACAGGAACACAGGAGGAGCCCAACGCCCCGCAGCAAATTAGCGACGCTCCTCCGAGCCCCGCTCACATCCCCCCCAAAAGCCAAAAGCTGGGGACTCCGCAAAGGTCCCCCGTCCCCAAACCGGGGCTAATTTGCTACAGCTTGTTTGGGTGGCCTCGCTCATGGATTTAATTTTTAATTAGGGTTTTTTTTCCTTTTTTTTTTTTTTTTTTTTTTTTTTTAAACTTTAAAATAATATTTTTTTTTTTTAAAAGTT